AGTGTCGTAGGTTTCATCAAGGCCTCGTCCTTGTTAGTAGCAGGTTGTATGTATATGTCACTGAGATTTTCAACGCTCTTGTAAAGTTTGACTAAGCTTCCACCCATGTCATCCTTGTTAGAGACGAGTTTAGAGGCAATGCCTTGAGGCAAAAGACAATACTAAGCAAATCCACAGAAAGTGTTTTCCCCCTTCAGCAAACAAAAATTTGTGTCCTTTTTACACGTACTTAATTTTGGTGATTGTCATTGATGCCGTCAAGAAGACTGATCCATAATTCTATTAGAAAAGCCTGAAGTGAACTGGTCGTGAATACTAGTTGATGGATAGGATATTTAACCCACAACTAGGATTGCTGTTTTTATCTCATTAATTATCATCCTCTGTTTCAGTATTTATCTTCAATAATTACATGATTAATAGATCATTATAAGGCTGCTTTTGAAGATGAGAATTCCTTATTTCACAAGTGATAATCCGTATAGACGAGAAAAGCTAGCTGGTTTATAAGATTTATTTCATTCATATGACTGGGAGTATGATCTTGGACTGACTAAACATAGATCTTAATAGCTCAATTTAGTTATAAATTGTATTGATCAAATCCATTCACTCATCCTAAACCAGACAAAACTGATTAATCAAATATTCTCCCTGAATTAGATGAGAGTGCTCAATGGAATCAAATTGTTACAACTTACAACCATTTTCACTTATCATTCTTTTTAAGTTGGGAATGCTATTGAAATATAAGCCCGCGTACATTATGGAGAGAGAGAGAGAGAGAGAGAGAGAGAGAGAGAGCATTACGAATGGAATGTTTAATATAAATTGCTTGGCCTGAAAAGGCATTCAGGAATTGGTCCTTGTATTAGTGAATATACAAGAAAAATCTGATTAAGAGTTACCAGGGTGTTACAGCACTGTACAACCAGTTGATTAGCAACAAGGCAGTTAGAGACCGGCATCATCCTCCTCCTGTATGCAGTAAAGTCCAAAACACATTATGTCAGGATTTGAAGAACACAGCAAAAAGTAATGACTCGTCAAGGAAAATGAAGGTCAACAATCCTGATTGGAATTAATATGGACCCAGCTATTCAAAATCCTTATTCGAAAACTCTATCTTCCTTTTTTTAATTTACTGAGGAAAGATGACATCAAGGAAAATATTATGAAGCGTTTTCAAATGGAAACTTTTCCAAGACAACGTTAGCATTTCTCAATTCATTTACCTCAGCTCTTTTTATATTACTTGGTTTCGGTTTTGATGATTTGCTAGCAGTATCAGACACTACCATCCAATCAAAATTCACTTCTAATTGGGGATTTTTAATATAAATGGAGACATTAATAGACTTTTCAAGGGGCACCCTACTGCAGGTGGCCCAAAATAATAGCAAATAAGGTCTGGTTCCATAGCAAGTGATTCAGCAACTTCAAAGATAAAAAGTGCAGAAGCAAAAACATGTTTAAATGCAGGAGATGGAACAAAATCAAGTGAAATGGCCTAAGGTTGCATGCACCCTATTAGTTAGTATTTCAGTACAAGATCATCAGACTAGGAAGGTTGATTCACTAGTGACCTGCCACATGACTGTGAAAACAAAAACTCCTTATCTTTCAGTTTCGAACCAACTTAAGTCAGTTCCGGTACACCAAGAGGTACCCTTCCAGGATATGTGGCATCCAGGGGTAGGCGCCAGGGAGCTAGGCGGAGGCTGGGAGCCCGCCTAGGCTGCTCTAGGCTGCCCTAGGAGGCTCTAGGCGGTCCTAGGAGGCCCTTGGCGGCTCTAGGCACTCAAGGAAGGTCTAGGCGGCTCTAGGCGGCCTAGGAGGCTCTAGGAGGGTCTGGGCGGGCGTTTTGCCGTTGAGGCGTGGACGAAGGGCGGTGGAAGTGCGCAGGATCCGCTGCTTGTTAGGAAGAAAGACGGAGAGACGGAGAGAGAGATCGAGACAAAGAGAGGAAGGAGAAGGCGCTGGGAAGAAGAAGATATTCGACCTAATTTTTATATTACAAATTTATATTTGAAACGTATAGCCGCTCGGCTATACTATTAATTTGAAAAAAAACAAAACAAAACACGGAGTATAAAGGCGTGGCCATACTATTTTTATATATTATATTTAACCCGTATAGCCGCCCGGCTATACTATTCATTGGAATAATATTTTTTAAAAATGGATTATCGCTGCCCGGCTATACTATCTCTTGGTATATCATATTTAAATAGTATAGCCGCACGCCTGTACTATTAATTGGAATAAAATTTTAAAAAAACAAGGTGCGGCTATACTATTAAAAGCAATTTAAAAAACATTCATTTAATATGAATTTACACAAACCAGGCCAAATTGTTTGAGTTCAATTCTAAAATATACTCAGTAGCTGCATCATTTGATATGTTGTGAAATTAAAGTTAAAATGCAATCTTAGAGAAACGGCTGCACTCAGATGACCCCTTGTGTCAATCAGGAGGATAGGCTTCGACAATTCATCAGTTTCTTCATATGTTTTGAATCAGTATATATAGATGAGCTTGATTTCTTCAACCTTTCTCAATACAAAATTGGCCTCCTTATTTGTTTTGGATCAACAATAAAGTTGAATGATTGTTGTGATGGCGGATGAGTTTTCTTGAGATATAATGAATGAAACCAAAAGAATCAATGGACCAAAGTTTACATGATCCAGAATAATAGAATAGAAATCCCAATCCACTAACCAAAATGAAACCCCAAAAGCTCAATGTCTCTAGAGGACCAAAGTTGAAATTTTTTTGCTGTTTCTTTCCAAGGAAGACATTGGTAAGAGGGGTATTTGACTCCAATGATCGATGCCTTCACCAACTTCAAACCCTACAAGAGAGAGAGAAATATACAACTAAGACATTTAGCTCTATCAACAAGCCATTGATAAGAGTTAGAGAAATATATAGGATATGAAACCTCCTTAACTTGAAGTGCATCAATCCCCTTCACATTGAACTTTTGTAGTAGCCATGAGATTTAGTTGGGTATAATCTACAACATCCTATTCAGGCAGATAAAATATGCCTCCAGGGAAAATATGCCGGCATACTATTTCTGCCTTCAATGCAGTTAAATTTGCAGGAACTAGTCAATTCAACAATCTACGATGGTTATACAGGACGGGTATCGAAAATAGGAACGAGATGAAATAAATCAGACTATCAGAGCCGTCAAGTTTCCTCAAGAAGCAAAGGATATAAAGACGAAGAGGCAAATATTGAGAGAATCGTCAAATTTTCATAGAGAAATGTATTTCTAAGGACATATAAAGAAGATTAGGCATTGTGAATCATATCATATGATGATGGGAGTAATAGATAAGTTAGACAATTTAAATCCCAAATCCCTGATTAAGAACAATGTATCGTTAATGAAATTATTTAATAATTTTGATGTTCATGAGGCTAAAAAGAACCTCTGCTACAGATCTAGAACATAACATATAGTAGCTGGCTGGACTCTCTCTCTCTCTCTATATATATAACTCTCTCTACCTTTCTCTCTCTTCATCTGCAAAATCATCATAATTAGATATATATATATATATATATATACACACACACAATACACAATAACGAGATGCTTTAGTTTATGATTACAAATACACAGACAGGAATCTATACCTTCACGGAAAACAGCTAAATCTCTGTGTCCAAATCCAAAGATTTCATGGCATCCCCGACTTCTTCCATCTTCCTCTTATGTTTTTTTTTGCCGCAGCTGAAATGGGAATACAAGTATAAATATATGAATTGAGTACAAGGCAATCTAAACCTGATATATATAACAAGTACAAATTTAAGGTAAGGCATCTACCATGAAAATCCGTTGGGCTAAGATCTCGTTTCTGTTCTCATGCCAGTTTGACTCCTGAGTCATCATTAGTTAAGCAATGTGATAACAGTAAAAGGCAATAAAAACAGGAAAACATGATGCATGCATGCATCATATATAGTTGTATGTCTATATATGTATGCATTTAGTTCCTTTTTTTTACCTCCTCAAGCCCATACGGAAGACGTCCGGGAAGTTGATCACCACAAAATAGTGGAGCATCGGACTCACAAAGAACGCGTGACAATTGTGGGTTTGTCCTTAAGACGATCCCAGCCGAGCACTGGGTACAACTGAAGTGAAATCTGGTGTTTTTAATCCCCAAATACTCCTGTAAATAAGAAAGAAATAGAGAACACCAAAGCTTTCGGAAACTAGAGCGAGCGAGCGAGCATGAGCATCCAACATTAACAAAAATAAACAAACCCTAGAACTAGAAGAAAGAGAAAGCAAGAACGAGATACGAACTGGGCAATTAAAGCTTCAAAACCCAAACGAGATTATTATAACAACCCAAGTACGTACCAAGTTGCCGGAGGATTTTTCTTTGCGGGAATTGATCTTGGTGTCTTTGGCCATGGTATTCCTACACTTGTTGCACCGAATGTTCCTAGGAAGGTTCAAAACAACATTCTCAATCTGCAGGTTCTTAGGCTGGGCTGCCAATGCCATCACAACTATTGGGTGTGTATGATGAATTCCGATATGAGGAGAGAAGGGAAGAGGTTTAAGAGTCCGGAAGGTAATTTGAGCTGCAGCAAGGTGTCGCATGTTTTAAATTTAGCCAGTTTGATCCTTTATTTTATTTTTTGCCAAAGTCAGAAAGGGATAGTAGGAGATTAAGCCTTAAATGAGATCCATCAAAATCTTACAAACAAGGAAAGGATTGTAGGAGATTAAGCATTATCATCAATAACATCATGGAGTATATATGGCAAAAAATAAGAGTAATAAATACATCATCTCAACGACAAGTCATGCAAATATCAGAGCCATCAATTTGGATCCCGATCCAATAATGTTTTTCTTAATTAAAATTTGATGAACCAATAAGATCCAAATTGGACCATTGAGGGGAGTAATCATTCTAAATCTCGAGCTCAGCTTGCATACCTCTTGCGCCTCTTTTGGTTCTCTCCCGCGACATGGTTTCAGTTTCTGTTCAAAGTAAACAAAGATGGTGAACTCAAACTGAAAAAAACACAAAACAAATCCGGGTTGCATATAGGAGTCTCTGCCTGTACCCGTTTGCCCGGCCCATTCGCGTGGGTTGAATAAAACGGGCAATATTTATATGGGTTTATCTGTTTATTCAGGACCCGCTTATAGCAAGCCCAAAAAGTAAGTACATTTTGACCCTGCAACAACCAGAGACCTCTACAGTCTTTCAAATCCTTACTGGCTTCCTCCACAGGTTAGTGGGTTTTTGGGTTTTTCATTCTGAGTTTTTGTTTCACACTTTTCCCAATTGAATGTGGTCTTTTTGTAAACTTTCGACATTTACGTTTTTGGCTGGATGAGGTTAGTGTGATATTGGTATATTGCAGACCACCCATATGTGATAATTCCTGAAAGAACTTGCTATAGAATGGTGAAAGCTCAGCTTGGTTTGCGCCCTTTCTTAATTTGGTTTAGCCATTAGCCTAGAATACGTAGAGCCCTTTTCATGGACACAGGTAGCAGTTGGTATTTGATGGGGCTTTGTTTGTATTGCTGCTCTGTTATCAATTGGTAGCGGCAGCAGCATTTTGGGTTTTTTGCTCTGAAATTATGCAGCCATTCAGTTAGTACTGGCTGTACCTCTCGTCTCTTTTGTCTTTATCCACCGTAAACCTTGCTATATAGACAATACAAGGCACTTTGATGGAAATGACTGAAACTTGCCAGCTAAAAGCTCTTGTTCTATCAGCTTAAGTGAAGTTGTAGTGCCACTCATTTTTCTTTTTCATGATTCATGTTGCTTTAACTGTTAAATTATGGCCAAGTTTCCTGCTCATTTCCTTTTCACCCAAAACCCCTTTTTCCTAATCAAATCCTTTTTAACGTGCCAGTAGTTGTATTTGGCCCGCCTGTTGCTTCTGTTATATTGACAGCAGCTTAATGTTTCTACTAGTTTTTGTATTTTGTTCTTTTTTGTACCTTATGTAGATATCTATAAGAGATATTCTTGTTGAATTTGTACTTTTTTATTAGCTTTGTTCAATTTTTACCGTCTTTCCCTTATGAATAAGTTTCTCAAATATATGTTTTTGTCATGGAGTTTGCTTCTGATCGTGCATCAAACCTTCAATTCTTGAGGCAGGGTGGTGGAGAAATAGAACAAATTTAGAAGAAGCTCTGACATAAAGGTTGAAAATGAGTGCTGAAGCTTTGCAAGTTGCTAAGGTGTACCGCCACCTTCTCAGGGCTGTCAAGAAACACGTTGCCAAAGAAGACAGGGCGAGGCATTTCAAAGAATACGTAACTGAAGAATTCAGGAACAACTGCAAACTGTCAGATCCATCTTCCATTCAGCAGAAGATTAAGCTTGCCCATAACTACACTTTTCTTCTTAACAGTGTGCACCATCACCAGGTACGGATGTAATTCATTGCTCTGTCTGATTAAAGTTTTTTTTTTTTTTGGGAAATTGTAAGGTCCCTGTCATGTTCCATTATGTTGGTTTTCTTTTTTAATCTCCATCAAGCATCTAACTTTGTATAATGGATGTGCAGGACCTATTGTTCTCTTACAACATTGCTGTGGATAGATCAGATGAGATGAAAAAAGTACTTGGAAAATCGGCTGCAAGTGTTGGTCTTCAACTTCCTGAGGTTTATCAGCCTTGATATTTAGTCGGCTATAATCTGCTACATCCTATTCTGGCAGAGAAAATTTGCCCCCACCGAACAATGTAGCCTGTGGAATTTTGGATTTTTATTCATAAATATTCAGTTGTATTTGTTTGCTGCCAACAATGGCAAAGAATAATTTGTTTGACTGGTTATCTGTTTTGACCAACGTAAAAACAAGTTCTGCTACTGCGGCTGAATTGATCAATTGTTCTTTTTTCCCGATAAACAAGCTGAAAAATAAAACATATTGATATGCACGGAACTACCGAATAGCAAGGCCTAAATCCGACACGTGTCAATCCGCACCCCACTTGGCATTACCAAAATTTGCAGTGTGACACCTATGTAACTGATAAGGGTTCTTCCTTCTCTTATATATATCCTCTACTCTTCTCTTTCACTGAAAGTAAATCTAATTATCTCGGTCCGCATTATCCTTAGCACAAGCATAAGATCCTCAACCGAATTTAGCACAACTGGTCTCATCATCTTCATCATCTTCATCATCATGGGTTCAGAAACGTTTCTAGAAGTGATATTGGCAATTATCCTGCCACCTGTTGGGGTCTTCCTCCGCTATGGCTGTGGAGTAAATTCTTTTACCCTAATGCCCGAATGCCATTCTATTTCTGTTCTTTTTTGGGTTTTGAGTTTGATTTAATTGTTAAATCATATTGTGGAAAATGCAGGTGGAGTTCTGGATTTGTTTGTTGCTGACACTGTTGGGATATATTCCCGGAATTATATATGCGTTATATGTACTGGTCGGATGATCAAGCTTTTCTGGAGGTCAAAGAATAATAATATGGCAAGCGACATGTGTGGTGTGGGTTAGTTTGGTTAATGTCACTTTGACTTTGTAATTCAGGATCATAATTTAGTTTCCTTATAAATTTCCTTGTGTTCTCTGTTCTTGTTCTTACTTTTTTTTTTTTCTTTTTTTGTTGAAGCAATTGCACACTGTAATTACCTCCACTTATGCTAATTGACACTAATGTAGAAAGTGGAAAGTCTAAAAAAATAAAGTCTAATGTTCTAGTCTCGAAAACACAAAACATATGAACACAAGTCATGGATTTATACCTTGAAATAATACTGATCAATTTGCATGATGAGTTTCAATAAAATACAACTTTCAATGCGGTATGTTTTATATTAGGAAAGGGAGGGACACCCCTTGTAGGGCCCACTCCGGATTGTATTTCACTAATCCAAACCGTCTATTTTGTAGATACACATTCAAAGATCATCTCTACAAAAAATCACTTGAATCCGATATCTTTTGACCATGCAATTGAGTTATTGAAATTTTAGTATTTTCTTGAAGCACCGTGTTCATTGATTTTGTAGGACACAATTGGATGTCGAAACGGTTTCCGATTTGTCTAATTTTTTGTAAGGATGATCTATGAATGAAGACCTAAAAAATAGATGGTTTTGATCATTGGAAAAAAAATTGTAGGGTACCCTAAAGGGCATCCCTCAAATAAAATTATTTGAGGGATCCCTCAATAGAAGGGGACTGATATATATATATGTGTGTGTGTGTAAATGTAAATGTAAATGTAAGGTATTGGAGCAAACTAAACAAGCTTCTTCAAAGTAGTTCATTTGTCAGCTGTGTGTGCATGATATAAAGGGAACACTTTTTTATTTACGGCTGCATATATCCTAATTCCTTCATGTCTTAGTTATTATCAAGAACAAATGAGAATGCAAAATTATTGGCAGGTTTGAGTTGTGGGATGGTTGATTTTGGAAGAATATTAACTGTATTGAATAATTGTAAGCTGGACGTCTAAAACAAATTGTTAGCTATCATAATGATTGCAAATTAGTAATATTTTATACAATAAATATTGTATATAGCAAAACTAGTGTGAAAACACAAAACATGTGAACACAATGTGAAAGATCATACAAGTCATGGCTTTATACCTTGAAATAATGATGATCAGTTTGCATGATGAGTTACAGGATTAGAACATTTCGACTTATGTGAGATGTTTATATTATCTAAAAACATTTTTACTTACATGTTTATATTATCTAAAAACAGTTTATGTTATCTAAATACAACTTGTCGATACAATGCAATGCCAATTGAATTGTAATGATCCTTCATTTTCAATAGTCTATCTTCCTTGAATACATCCAATTGAATTGTGAATTGGATTTGCTAGTTGGATACTCGATGATAATTAGGGTTTCGAGTCCTGAAGAAATAATGGGAACAAACATGTGTGGAGGTTTAGTTTGGTCAATGTCACTTTAACTTTGTGATCTTAATTTAATTTCCTTCCATTTTCCTTGCACGTGTGATTATTTCAGGTTTTTTTATATGAATTTTTTTGTGAAATTAAATATTTAAGTGAACAATCCACAGAGCAAGCCCTTATTAGGCTATTTGATTCTTGACTTGAGAAGTATTTTCGTCTAGCTCTTGTCACTTCCATTCCATTCCATACCACAGTGGTTGAAACTTGAAGGTTGTTTTCACAAAAATAAAAAAAGAAGGTTAATTAGTAATAAATTGATCATGTTAAAAAAAAAATTTATGGAAACCCTTAAGAAGTTCAAGTACCACGTTTATGTTCTAGTCTCGGAAACACAAAAAATGTGAACACAAGTCATAATTTTTTCCCCTGAAATACTAAAGGATCGGTTTGCATGGTATGGTACAATAAATAAAAGATTTGTTGTAATAGGTATGTCGGAGTGAAATAGAACTTGTGCTTGTTTATGTAAGGGAAAAATAAATTCTTTAAAAAAACCATTTTTGGAAATAATAAGACTTTAAACATATGTTTATTTACTTCAATTCGTCGATTTATGTAAGATATTGGAGTGAACTAAATATGTTTGACAAATAATGAAGGAGGGGTGATTTGTTGGACTGCGAAAGATTATCAAAGCTTGTGGTAAGGTCTATGATTAGTTGATGAAAGACAAAGAATTCAATTAAAAACAAGCGTTGGGATAGTGTATATGGAATATGGAATTGCAACTAGCTTCAAGAGATGGCATAATCGGACTTGTAACAACTATGTTTTTGTTGTACGAAATTATTTACTAATTACAATTACACTGGTGTTTATTCTGTCGACATACAAAATTATTTATCACTAGTTCCGTCGAAATAATGGGAACAGTATTTAGTTTGGTAAATGTCAATTTAACTTCATGATCCAGGATCTTAATTTAATTTCCTTATACATGTGACATGTCATTGTGATTATTTCAGAGTTTTTTTTTTAATTAAAAAAATATATATATGAAAAGTTCTGTCAAATTATATGCTAAGTGAACATTCCACAGAGCAAGCCTTTCCTTAAGGTGGTGGCCTAAGACAAAACGAATAGTATAACTGTTTCTGTTAACCTTTTTCTTAAATGTTAAATTAAGTAAAAAAAACTGTACAATAACAAGCTTAAGCTTAATTAGTAATATGTTGATAATATTTAACGATAGAGTGAAAGTACAAAGTTGAGTTTCAACTTCTTAAATTGAATTTCAAGTTGTTGACATGATACAAGAATTCAATGGTCTAGCCTAGTAAAAGAGTCGTTAACTTGGTAATATGCGGGCGAGACCCTTGTAAATAGTAAACCCACCCATTTAAAATGTAATTTATGGGACTCTTTCATTGAGCCTTGAGCTAAGCTGCATGCTGTTAATATTGTCTTTTTTTTGGTTGATAAGAAAATGTGAGCTTTTATTGGTTAATAACCAAGTAGGAGCAATACTCGTCATAAAATACAAAGAACTATTATAGTACCATATAATGACATCACTGAGATCACAACCAGAACATCACCATAGATAAATACCAATTGAATTTTGATAATCCTACATTTTCAAAATTTTGTCGTCCTTGTGTAGATTGGGATAAGAAACTGTTTTCACCAAAAGTCACTGATAAGTTGAAACAACCATCATCTAAATGAAAAACAAAGCTACATGACTGAGATTTGAGGATGAGCTCACTCAACAAGCTTAAGACCTTGGCTTTTCCTTTTTCTCCTTAAAGAGCGCCAACAAAGACACACCAGATACCTTCACAACCTTGAATCTGACTCCAGGAATATCTCCCACGGCATGCCCCTTCCGACCAAATCCAGCAATCAACACCTCATCCTGCACCAAACGCAACAAATATATCATTAACTTGAGAAAATATAGGAGATGAAAGCAAACACGAACAAAGGATTCCTTGACTTTATAAAAGATTTATAACTCTTCACTAAGGTTTCCTTCCTTTTTTTTGGTCAAATTCACCAAGGTTTCCTTGAAATCTAACATGCTGAAAGATCAAACTTACATTTTCCTCAATGTAGTTTAAGCAACCATCGTTGGGGACAAAAGCTGCAATCTTCTTCCCATTTTTTATCAGCTGAACACGAGCACATTTTCTAATGGCAGAGTTCGGCTGCTTAGCTTCAATTCCACTGCATTAACAGTCCACAATTTGTGACAATTCAGTTTAGACCTAAAAGTAGCATTAGTTATAATATCCCATGTTTTAGAGCAAGAGAGGAAGAGTATCAATAATCTCACATCTTTTCTAGGACAATGCCCTTGGCATGAGATGAGCCAGCAAATGGCTTTTTCCATTCATTCCCAAGGTGAGATTTCTTGTATGACTTGTCAGCCCACCTTTGCCTTCTGCGGTGGTCCTTCAGCTTACGAGCAGCTCCCATACCACGTGTCTTCCTGCAAAATAACCACAATCTCTTCATTTCAAAATAATTTTACTCAAAATCAGTATACAAGAGCAAAAAAATGCAATCCAATCCCTAGGCATGAGTAATCTTTGGCAACTGTTAAATTCAATGCAATCACAGAAGCATCACTGAAATGAACAATGTAAAGCCAGTTGCACAGAGTAACAAGACATGCTTCAGCGTTCTTGTATTTGAAAAAAACAGTCGAACTTCAAGTTCCCATGCCTGTTTTGTCAGTCAAATAATACATGCCTCTTGGGCACAATTTGACATTGATACCCGCTTACCATCAGTTATAAGAATGGGGCTACCTAGAAGCCAGAAGTAATCCAACGTTGCTTTAACATCAGTTATAGGAATAGGGCTTGAAACACATTGATTAAGTTTAGCTAATTCAGACCCTATAAATACGCATGAACTAATATCATCATACCCTTAAGCCATGTATAAGCTTAAGACTCGTTAGAAACCTAACAGAGCCCTACTGAAACTAAGATGCATCTCTTTTAAACCTAAAATTCAATCCTTTTTTTTTCAGATGCTTTCTAGGCAACCAAGAAGATAATTTTTATATAAAAGAATAAATATTACATAGCAATTTCGTTGCAAAAATATGAACCCAAATTCAAATGCTTTAAAGATTTGAAATTTATCATGAAACCCCTCATTGAGATTGTAGAAATAGCCATAAACCAGATCTGAACCACTAAACTTTGACAAAGTAAAACAATGAGATCGTAGAAAGAGAAGAAATCAGGTACCCCATGGCGGCTGAGAGGGGAGAGTCCTGGACTTCTGCAGCAAAGGTACTGAGAGCACTGAGGCGGAGAGGAAATGCCGGCTGCTGGAAAACCCTAACCTTGGTTTTTCAATTCATAGGTGGGAGATTTTATATATAGCTCTGTATTGCTTCTTTGGTTTTCAGCAGGTCAAAACGGTGTCGTACCGGAAAATTACACATATGACCTCTTGAGTGTATTATATTTAGTTTGGATTTCCTTTCTTATTATTTAATTTCAGTTTATGACATATCTTATTTGTGTTTTTATATATAATATAATCCTACAATAGAAAATGTTGGAAAATAAACCAAGTTTTTTTATGAGGGAGGAAAATTAACAAGACAATTAGTGTTAAAAATCTAAAAATCATGAGAAAGCCTACGTTTATTTACGTCTTGAATCAAAACTCATAATATTGATCATGTTATAAATGCCAAAATCAGTGAGTTACAAGAGAGAACAAATTTTCACAAAATTATTAGAACAATAGGAATTTTATTCACAGAAGGATTTCAAGCCCAATGAGAATCCCCTTATCTTTAATAAGCATTGCTATCGCCAATCTCGCAATCTTCAAGCAACTCTATTTTGGTCAAAAGAGCTTATTCTGAGTTCTAATTCCCCGAATTCTGTAAGCTCAGTCTCACGAGTGGAAATTGAAGCTTCTCTCCCTGCCATGGAGAGGAGTTACAGTCGAGTCGCTAGCCAGGAAGCACTTTTCCACTGCCTAAGCTCCGAGCTCACCCAGCTGACTAATTTCACCCACTTTTTCAACGACTTTTCTCAGAAATTCATCAAAAACAGAGTCCTTTTTTGCTACTTCTGATCGGCACTCTCGCTTTGGCCTTCTCTGAATTTTGTTGAGGCCAAATTACAAGCCAAGATCAATGGCACCAACATGTTTAGTTAAAGCATCAATTTGGTCTTTGAAGTAATCATTTTGAAGGGTGCAAAGGTTATTTCCAGGACAGGGCATGTTGGGATCTTCATTCTCTTTGGTATCTTGGCTGTTCACCTTCTTGAGGACCACCATCCCAATATTATCTTCAGTTCTCAAGCATTTTTTAGTGTTCACTTTGTGAGGCAAGTCTTTCTCAACTTCTGAAGTCATGGCAGCATAAGTCTTAATGGCCCCCTTCATGTCAAGCTCATTAAGGGAAGCATTTTGAACTCCATTGTGTGCTGGACGCCGAGGACTGATGCCGAAAGCAGGGCATGGAGATCCAGTTTTACGAGATGCAAGCTTTGTATTCCTTGTCCCATGGCTCCCATCTAAAGTTCTAGGAGTTTGAAGCTTGCCATATTGACTTGCAGCTCCATTGTTGTTACTTTTGCCAGTTGCACTTCTAGACACTATGCTTTGTACACCAGAATGGCACGGCATGCTGCCACTTGATCGCACGAAGGAAGTCTCCTGTCAAAGGAAGGAATATTGTACAATTAGGAATTCACTCAGCACCATGTAGGAAAATTGGAACATCAAACATTGAACTCAAAAGCAAGCTTTCATTCAGCACTAGAATGGCCCATAGATATAAACCAACCTCATCAAAAAAACCAATCTTCGGTGATGGCACTCGGAGACACGAGGGCTTGATATGTTTACAAACACTGCTAGAAACAGAGCCACTTCCCACTGACATCTTTTCTTCACGTTGATTTAGGAGCCTTGTTTTCTGATTTCCATGTCCAGTGCAGGGTTTTTCATGCGAATGGCTCTCCACATCTGATGCCTGAGAGACATCACGCTCAAAAGAAACCTGCCTGCAGAGTGTTTCTAGACCGACCTCAGAGTTCTTAGATCTTTGATTCACAGAAGTTGATGATGATACTGAAGAACATCCATCAAGGGAACTAGCAGATGATGTGTGAGAGGAAGACTTCGGAGTGAAAAATAAACTGGAAGGGTGAGAAGAATTTTCCAGTTCATCCTTGTTTGTCTTTGTGGATCGCAGAGGAGTTCCCATGGTAAAACCTTTGGAAGCCGAATTGACAAGTGACGGATCAACTTGTCTTCTTGAATTGAAGGGAGATTTACCAGTAGTGTCTACTGAAGCATTCCAGAAGCCTTTATAGGGGGAACAATAAACCCCAGACTCATGTGTGATAGTGGGAGAACGCGATGAAAGAGATTTAGGGGATGGTGTAAAACTATCAGTGACACTGCAGGATACCCCCATGCATGGCTTCTTTGACAAAGTCATAGATTGCCCTGTAAGTATACCATATGGACTGTAGTTTGAGTTGCAATCCATAACTAATGAAAAAAATAAGAAACACTGCATGGTAAGTTTTACATTGTTGGTCATCTTCCGTCTTACCAGGTGCAGCTTTTGCAGTTCCCATTTTGGCATAATTTCCACCCAAACAAGCCCTTTTGGCTGCAGCTGTTGAAGATTCGTTAACCCAACTTGATATCTTCGGTGGTTTACGAGATGCAGATGAATTCAATTTCTCACATCCACCAGCAACCTTCAATTTATCAGAACTCAGTCGGTTAACACATTTTTGAAAAGTTTGTTCCCACATACTCACTTAAGTTATGCATCAACTAATAAGTAAAGAACAGAATTCTACTTGATTTAGACATACCTGTTTTTGTGAAGAAACAGAAGCCTCCTTTAAGATCCTCTGCGGTCTATGCACATTGAGACTTTGCCTTTTGGATGCCGGCATGGATTTCAACTGAGTTTCAAAATACACACACACATTATGGAAAGACCTCAGAAATATGATAAATTATGACAAATTTATAACAAAAGCTTACCCTCATCCAAGAGGAAGCATCAGGTTTCTTTGAAGCTGAAAGTTATTAACTTAACAAGGTTATGTTTACAAAAAGAACACAACGGATAAAAAGGAGAAGTATTTCATTCAATACCGTGGTGTTTACTTGTTGCTAGAAAGGCAGTATACTTACTGTACATATTTTGCATACCTCCTCTTTTCAATTTGAGACTTGATGTTGGTTTTTGCACAGATGATCTGTTATCTTCAAAAAGTTCAAACTCAAGGCTTGCCAAAGAGGAACAGCCACTATTTATTGTAGAGATTGACTCGGTAGACCTCCAAACTTCTTCAATCCCAGGAAGTTGATTTGCTTTACATTTCCTGAACCCTCTGTTCACTATAGACAATTCCTTAGAATCCAAAACCCCTGAGAACAACAAGTAACCAACCAGAAACTTATGCAGTGAGAAAATGCTGATAACAAGCACATGTGCAATGTGTTTCTACCAGACAACACATACCTGCACTGGTGAAAAAGGCATTATCCCAAGCCAAACTTTTCCGAAAATTGTAGTTGTTGGGTTTTCTTGTTCTTTCAGGTTCTAGAGACTCAGAAGGCAATAGTATCTCTTCCTCTTGTCCAAGAAAGTTAAATGCATTGCCGGTATTTCGAGAATTCATAGTCTGAAGCAGCTCCTCAGGGTCCAAAACTCCTGAAAAAATGCACAGAACGTAAAATTTATGCTGAGAGAAAATAGCAAGAACGAAAGACCCTATAATATAATTTGCAAATATAAATATGTTGCATATCATAAAGAAGACCTGGACTTGTGAAGAAGGCACTGTCCCAAGCCAAACTGTTGCGGACATTAAAATTGGTATAATTTGCTGCATTCTTGGCGTCCTGTGAGCTCCGAGAGTTGAACAGCCTAAACCCATCAAGCTTCTCTCTGTCATCTGAATTGGGTACATACAAGGCAGAAGCTTGTTTTAGAAACACTAGCATGCATGAATGTGTATCAAAGAAAAACCCTTTAGACACCCAAGAAGAGCATACTGAATTCAAAGAATCGTATTTTAACAGTTTAAAAATTCAAGCATGATCATCAACAGTTGGAGAGAGAGAGAGAGAGAGAGAGAGAGAGAGAGAGAGAGGACCTGGAAAGCCAAGTTCTTGAATATCTCCACTGGAGGACATGGTATTGATGGGGAGCTTCTTCAACTACAAGTCAAATATTACTGGGTTCTTGTCTTCTTGGAGAGAGAGGGAGAGAGGGAGAGAGAGTTGTAGTGGGAAAAAATTCAAAGTGAAAAATAATGTGAAAGATTACGTTTTGGGGAATTGATTAAAGAGAGATCACCGGCGATACCGAAACTGAAACGGCTGATTTAATATTGGGTTTTAGTTTGCGTACAAACTCATTGAAATGGAGCGCAAGTTCTGATCCCCTGTCCTTTCTTTGTCCCGCAAACTTATGATTACATTTTTTTTAATCTTTTTTGGGTAAAAACTAACAGTGAGAATCTCTCCGACTTGACTAGCAGTGGCTCCTCTCGACGTTTTTATAGTTTCCAGAACGATCAACCATTAATTATGCATGCAATTGCGACTTTCATTATAGTCAACCAATTATTTACCACAAAATTGGGGTCTTTCCAATTTATCTTCTTTCTTTTTTGGGGGAAACAACTTTTCTTTTATAACATGCATGATCATGTTTTTTTTTTTTTTGCCCTTTTGCCTGGATCATGAATCATGATATGCATTTTTGGTGCAGATTAGATCCCAACAAATTCCTTCTTAAGCATTCAATTTCCAAGACATACCAATAGGGTTCCTCAGCTTTCTGTAGCAATAAGGAATTAATATGGACTTTTTTTTTCTTTTTCTTTTTCTTTTTTTTTTTTTTTTGTGAAGACCAAAACAAACAAAAGAAAACTACGATGAGGAACCAATACCACAAGCATCAAATATAACTTTCCTAGCAACATCAGACGGAATTTGCAAACTTCTGACCAAGATTAGCTAGAGCATCTGCTACAAAGTCAGCTTCCTGAAAAATATGCCGAAAGCTCTGAACTTGCACGGCTGCACCTGCGTACTTGGTTGCGTGGATTTATAATATACTCTTTAACAGCTTTCACGTAATGTTTCCAAATTATCAAACAGACGGCGTTTAATGAATTGAGGATTCTAATGATTAGATTAAACAAATCCTTTTAGATTTGATCCCATCACCCCATATGGGTGTGTAATATCATTCCAGAAAAAATAAATAAATAAAAGGCTGCCATGTTCAAGAACCAAGACCAGAAAAGAGGACAGCTCTTCAGCTTTCACACGCAAATTGGCATCGC